AAGTTTGTAAAGGGTTTTTTTTTCCCCCCGCAACTGCAAAGCCAAGAGTCAGTTTCTAATGAAAGGTGAGATTGAAAATACAGCACATTGGCTGTGCATACATCAGGTAGGCCATTTTGGCCCACATAGTTGGCACCCCTGATTTAAAGCATACCAGAGAAAATAACCCAAGAAACAGTATGTGTTCCCTATAAATAGCTGCTCTCTATGTAGCAGTGGTTTATGAACAAAATCTGTCCAAACTACATCAAAGTGCCTGAATATTTGCTGCCTGATTTTGCTGAGTTGTGTGTCTAATTTGGCTAACACCTTCTGTTGCAGACCATTGTCCTGTTTTCTTTCATAGCCCTCTGAACTCTATGGTAGCATTTGGACAGATTCTATGTAGAGTTTATTGAAAGATTTTTTCACTGATTTAGTGCATAGGCTACTTGAGCCAAGTGAAACAGGAACTGTATTCCTAAGGCATGAAAAGGCAGAAAGGAAATTTTCTTATTGAAATATAATTTTTCCACATTACTTAATAGTCTAGAAAGTTTAATACCTTTCTGGCAGCACTTCCCACTGGGAAAAAAAAAATGGTTCCCACTCAGCCAAACAACAGTGTAATAATGTTTTAGGTTGGGTTAAATGTCTTAGAAAGTGGCAGGTGTCACAGCCACCTTGCCTTCAGTGAAAAAGGCAATTGAGAGCCCTTATGAAACAAGGGATTTACATCAGTAGGGGCTACTACACAAAAAACAGGCACATGGCAAGGTTTGAATACATGGTGAATCATGTGGCCCAAGGGATTTTTCAGGGTGGGGGTGTGTGTGTAAAATATCAGGCCATGAGGACCAGATGGCAGAGCTCCGCATGTGCAAGAGAAACAGCAAGAAACACTACAGAAATGGATACTGAGAAGCAGCTGAAAGTCAAGGTGGCTGGGAGCTTTGATTTTGAAAAAAGATACCGCCAGGGTTGAATGAGCGTCAAAAGAGTGTTGGCACTGTGAGCAAAAACAGAACTGAAAAAACAATTTTGTACAGTTGTTCTGTAAACTAAGTTAATTACCTTGAGTATATACCTAGCTTTGTCGTAGTGTTCTCCTCTTACACTGGTATTGTCACCCATAACTTCTTTGTGTGTGCAAGGTACAGTTCAGTTCTCCTACACTGCAGTTTCCCGTTCCCTATCTGCCCTGTCAGTTTACACTAAATTCTGTGGGGCAGAGACAGTGCTTTGGTCAGGGTCTGTGCATATGACAGACAATTGTTGCCCTTGTGTAACATCTGAAATTTTTTGGAAATTCACTCTACTTACATGGTAGGTCCCATTCTTTAGGGTCTGTCTTTCTTATTGTAAACTCTTTAGGGCGTTGTCTGTTGCTTTATATGTACATGCTGTAGTGGGAATTCATCACTGAAAACACAAATAATTAATATCACTGGTAATGTTAAAAAATAAATATGTAAGGCTCTGTTTTGTTATGCACATTCTTAATTAAGTTTATGAATATTTCCTTTGACATAAATGGGCTACTTGTTCTTATTGTTCAGTCTTTGTAAAGCTGGGGTCTGTATTAGGAAGAAAATTCTTAAGTGTATTTCAAAAATGTAGTTCTAAAGACATTTAGAAAGAACAGGTCCTCATTCTTGTCTAGTTTATATTACCATATAAACTAATAATACAAGTATACAGCAGATGGCGTGTGCTGTTACTCATCTCTGCAATTGTGGCTATGAGGAAGTAACAGTAGTCTGAGACCTTGCTGGTTAGCTAAAATAGTTGAATTTTCCATTAAAATTTCCATTACTGCAAGCCATGCTTCTTAGCCTAAGGGCATGCACTATGATAGAGCTTAATTGATTGGAAACTTAAAGTTTTTACAGTATTGAGAGTTCCTCCAAACAGAAGAACATAGCGAATCAGAATATTTTGTCAAATCTGTTAACATATTTACTATTTAAAACAGTATGTTGTGAGCAGAAAGATTTATAGTTATGCTTCTCTTCCCTCACTTGTCTATATTCACAAAACTGATGGGCTTTTTATATTATTAAATCTCAGTTTCCTTGACTTCTTCAAGCACATCACAAGGGACAAAGAGAGGCAGCACAAGTGCGTTGGTGGTGTTTTCTTAGGAGGTCAGGCTAAGGATACGCCTTGAGGTTCTTCCATTGCACCAGAACTGTCCAGGAGGTTGCAAGCACTTTTCCCTGGGCTTGGTATTTTGAGAAATGGGAGTATCAACTTATTTCATCACCCTGTATTATTAAAAAGTCATAGCTTCAATATTAAACCTAATCTGTGAGTCTTTTTTGAGTGTCCTCATAACTAACCTGAATTACTCGTCGATACCATCCAAAGTATTAAAGCATCATTTAAAAATCAAACTTTGAGCAGTTTTCCTAAACAGTGTGCTAACATTTCACTTCTTCCTATTATTTTCCTTGGCAATCATGGAGCACCAAACTGGTAACAAGATTGGAACACAGGTATTTACCACACCCCATGAAAGTCTTGACTTTGGTACAGTCACTGTAAATCTCTATACGCATATTGACTCTTGAGCTGCAGATGCGTAAGCTTTTGATGAAACGGAACTCGTGCCAAAATCAATACACAGGCCAAAACAGAAGTAGGAGAAGGACACTTGCAATTAATAATGATTAGGTTTGAATTTTACTAATAGAGGGTTGAATCTTCTTCCATTTAAATGAGTGGCAGAATTCCATATTAGATTTTAGTTTTTCAGAGTCAGCAAAATATGCTTAGCTTTTGCATAGGACTTTATATGCCTAAAGCACTGCATACCTGTTAATTAAAAATAAGTAACTGAGACATGAAATGCTATATTCCATCAATACTAAGTTGACTCACTACAAATAGAACATTCATTACTTAAAAACAGTCTTTGGACTGTTTACAGTTGATTCTATAATCTACTCATTTTATATTGTTTCATCCCAAATCTAAAGGTGTACAAATCTAAAAAGTTTTCTTAACTATAAAATGTAAAAGGAGACAAAGCTGTGAGAAATGTAAAGATTGTTTTGTGAGACTTGCAAAAAAAAACCCAAAAAAAACAAAAAAGCAAAAAACCCAACCTAACAATGACCCACAAAATACTTTTATCCCCAAAAAAACTTTTATGGCAATAATTGACTTGAAAAAAAACCTGAATTACAGTACTCGGTTACGGAAAGACTACTAAGTCTATCTGTTGATGGTATCATACACAGTGTGATGGTGGTTTTGAGCCAGGTCCAAATAAATTGTTTCAGGGTAAACCAGTTCTTTTCTGGACCATTCATTCTTGTGTGATACTGGAATGCCCTCAGCCATTAAAGTCGACAGGAGCTGATGGCTTTTACTGTGTTCCAGATAAGCTATATAAAATTGCGGTTCATAAAGCATCTTTTTGACAGCTTGTGTATTCTACATGCTTCCATCAACTTTTTCCTCAGTAAAATGGTTAGCTTTCAACAGGTGTGAATTTGGCTGCTTTTTTATTATTATTATTTGAATTATATGACACTTCTTTGGGTATTTACACGTCCCTCCTCCTACCTATCGCTGAAATATCCTTTTCTAGCTTTTTGTTTGCCCTCTGCACAAAGCAGGGTCTTCCTTGAAAGAGATACAGAGTACAGTTGTGTTTGCATTCGGTCTGGAAGGCCATCTAGTGACACAACTGTGCAGGAGAAAATGTAAAACCCTGTTTGTGATATTTTTTTTTGTAGTTAAATTAAATGATCTTGCTACACTCAAGCATGCCCTTGGGGGTTTGTTGCTATTCCCACAAGTGGTATTTCAAAAATTTTAGAGTCAGTTTTGATTTCTTAAGAAGTGATAGGGTTTATTTGAGATGGAGCACACTGTTAACCCCTGCCAGGAAAGAAACACGATTTTTTGTGCAGAATGCTGGCAGATTGACACCTGAGCAGGTCTGTCACGAACACAGCATCACTCCCCTGACATGGGTATCATCGGAGCCAAACGTATCCGGCTGTTGTGATCCCCTGCCTTCCATGGTACAAAACAACGCCAGGTAGGTGCCTGGGGCCACCACATCTCTGCAATTAAAGTGTAAAATTCCAGTTTATTTTCATTGCAGCTCACCTTGAATGGGTGGCACTGGGTGAATAAGCAATGAGCAGAGCTGTCGGTTCCTACTCGAGCTATAAATACAGTAGAAAACAAGCAGCAAGTCACTGCCACTCACAGTGCCAGCAACAAGACGCGTTTCAGGGGGTACCTCGGGGGGTCTCTGCCTCCCATCCCGTCGTGGCTGGCATGGCACCCGCTGCACGCTCTCCCCTCAGCCTTTGGGACTGGCATCCACCGCTGCAGACATTGAACTGGGAAGGCATCCCCTCAGCCACTGGTGATCTGGGGTAAACCAAAATGGCAAATGGCCCTTGAGGTCCAAAAGAGGAATAAATGAGGGCTGGGAGGGGGGGCGGGAGGACGCTGGTGCTACAGCTGCTGGACGGGGATGAGCACCCAAGCGTGGGTAACATGGCGGGTCGATGGGAAGTGCAAAGGGGACAGGGCCTAGCGGCCCCAGGTGCATGGAGGCCTTGGAGGCTCACCGGGAGGAC